CTACTAGCTACTGCTACTGCTACTGCTACTGCTGCTGCTACTGCTACTACTACTACTACTACTACTACTACTACTTTTGCTACTGCTACTGCTACTGCTACTGCAACTGCAACTACTACTACTACTACTACTACTACTACTACTCCTGCTCCTGCTGCTCCTGCTGCTGCTGCTGCTGCTGCTGCTGCTGCTGCTGCTGCTGCTGCTGCTCCTACTACTACTACTACTTCTCCTTCTACTTCCACTACTAGTACTCATACTCATCACTTCTTCCTCACGTAGAACGGCACAAATCAAAGTAGCGCCCGCAATCAAACAACACAGCGAACAAAACATACACCTGAGAACACTTGCACATGTTGTCCGTGGGCCATATCGCCAACTGCCCAACAGAGTCCTAAACTTAGCAGAAAATGCGGCCCCGAGTCTCAAACACACCGTCCGGCCTGCGCCATCGCCCCTCGATCCCGTCGAAGAGCTTGACAACATACCTGCCTGCTGCTTTGATGTTGTAAGAGTCTAACCCGAAAGAAAAGCAGAGCTTCCAGGGGTGAAGTATGTCAGGCAGTCGAGCTTGGGGCCTGGAGGTTCTTGGCGCCTGTGACAAGTCTGGTTATTTGCCTTCTAGCAGCTGCACGCTTTGTTCGATGAGGGTAAACTTCGTGGTTTCAAGTTTAGGGGTTTAAGGCCCCGAACTCCATCCTGCATGGCCTCTCGGGTTGAACTCCGTACTGTCAAAGAGCTGCTGCAACGCACCCCTGCCAGGGTCCAGTTTAGGGCTGTATGAGAACCCTTAAGGATTAGGACCGGGATGTTTGGGTATCGTCTTGTTTGGGCAGGGGTTCGGGGTCGGGGTTCATCATGTAGAGGTTGGGATTCTCCTCCAATCTTAAGTGGAGGCCGGAACACTAAGAGTCGGCCCAAGCTCTAATGCCTTTGGAGGTAATGATCTGTATCTTCACAACGAAGCTACTACAGCCTAGGCCCCCCCAAATTTCACATTTCCAAACCCCCCAGACCGGAATGATATGATTGAGCTTGTATACAGTTTAGCCCTAAACCCAGCCCTCACCCAAGCATTAGGACACAAGGGTGCTTGCGGGCTTCGTCGCCTGCAGCTGAGGAGCTCCTGCTTGCAACTTGGGCTACACGCAGCATATGGAGTTTGGAGGTTAATACACAGCGCCTCCTCTACCCCAGAACTGCTTTTAATCTACACCGGCTTTTATTATGAAGGGAACTTGGTAGCAAAAGCAAGCAGTCCCCAGCAGCAAATCAAGACTGTAAAGGCAACCTTTGACAATTCCTGCATTCAAGACCTACAGATAGGAACACCTCGTACCAGCAGAGATGTTGCCACTTACATATACGGTACCTCGCCGACACATCCTTGGCAACAGCCTCCAACCCTCAAGCCCGAAGCAGAGCCTGTGTTCACCAAGGATCGCGATGGCGGCCAGCAGCCACACGTCGCCTTGGGCGCCTTCCAAATTCAAGCAGTGTGGAAGTTGATGGCCAAATCCGGTACCGAAGTACATACACCCCAGGGTGCATAAAGGGCTTCCTCACCAGACATCCATGCAACTCAAACATGTTTAAACCCCTTTACACTTCGGACCTGCGTACCATTCCGTTGCCATTCCCTAGTCCTGTAAGGCACCAGAAACGAACCTTTTTCGCTTCTGACTTTACACGGTGAAAAAACTTGTTTTCGCCTCCTGTGCAAGGCGGGTGCCCTCGCATTCTGGCCGGAGGTCCCCAGGACCGAAGCGCAGTGCTGCGAAGGTCTGAATGCTTGCAGCCCCGATGGCCACAATTAAATCCAGAGGTGAGACAGTCAGGATTAGGCCAACGTAGTCGGCGGTTGGATCTCCATTTGGCGACAGTCAACCAACTCTAACCTCACTCACGCTTTGACGGATGTTGTAAGGGTGCTACGAAATCGCCCCCCAAAAGATCCACCCAAATGTGTTGGAATGTTTGATGCGTATTTATTGGAACGCGCAATTGGTACGCGGACTCAGGAATGTGGAAAGCTGCCACGCGTGGGGTGGCAAAAGTTTGTACACAGAGATTAAACCGAGATTCATTTTAAAACAGCTCATGGCTACAAACCGCCAGACTCGGCAAGTCGCCTCTCACTCTTTCGGCGGCACTGGCAATCAACGGCTCCGGCTCAACGCATGAGCTTCCAGCGAGATCTTGACGGCTGGAAACTTCTGGCCGGCACTACTTAGGAGACTGTTGAAGAGAGGACTGCACTTCACACGCACCCGCTCGAGTGCCACGGCGACTTGCGCCTGGCCCTCGAGTTCCATCTCCTCCCAGCGCGAGGAGAGCTCCTGGAAGGTGCTGTTGAGGAGCCAAGTCTTGGAGAAGCTCTGATCCCAAGGGAAAGAGCTGACAGACATGAGGGCTGAGGTGAGGACTTGCACCTTGAAGTCACCATGGCTTCGTCTGCTGAACACATCTGCCACGGCATCCAGGAGGCCCCGGAGCTCTGGGGCCAAGTCGGAAGCAGTGTCTTGGTCGTACTTGTAGAACTCCGCAAAGGCCCAAAGCAAATTCGTCACTTCATAAGCCTGACAGCTACGGAGCTGAGGGGTCGCGATGGCCGCCAGCTTGGCGAAAAGCGACGGCCGAAAGACTCGCAGCTGCGCACAGGACCAGGCGATGATGGTGCAGCAATTAGCCGGCAGTGCATCCCGGTTGGCCAGCTCCCGCTCGGCGAAGTGCTCTGCCTTTTCCAGAAGGCTGCTGAAGACACCTGGGCTGGACTCTCGCGGGAAGCCTTCACCTCCGCGCGAGATGCGGTGGAACGACGTAGCCAAGTTCACTCCGTTCATCTGGCCAAGGTTCCTCGCTACCACCTTCAGGACCTCGAGACTGCTCCTCTTGCCGGCCGCCACAAGCTCTCTGTTGATCCGCTTCTGTTGTGCCGAAGTCTTCGAAGCTCGGGCTGCCTCGTTTGCTGGCGGCACAGCCACCGGTGCGTGGGAACCGGCAGAGGACGTCGGACCCTGCTGGTCGCGAGAATGATCAACGTGATCGGCCGGTGCGGACGGTTGCTGGACGGCTTGCTGAAGCATCGGCATGGGGATCTCAACGACCTGGATCCCTTGCGGTATCACCGGGACCATGGTGGGGGCAAGAACCATCGGCACGGCGACCCCGATTGCAGCGAGGTTGCGTGGTGGGGAGTTGGTCCGTGAGCTGTTGAGCGGCGAGTTGGTCCTGCTGCACCTGCTAAGGGACTCGCTGAGGCACTCGACATCAGACTCACATGGGCTGGAGTTGCTGCCATCTTCGTTTGCAGTGCTGACTGAGCTGTACCTGTCGTCTTGCTCTACGGATGACTTCATCGGGTAGGGAGAGCGACAGGGAACGGTCATCTCCACGTCCGTGATGATGGCTGGGCATGAAAGCGTTCGGGTCATGGGCCCATCTGCCAGGTCTTCACCGGCATCACCCTCGCAACAGTGCACAAAGGTGTTTTTAGTGCACACCCGGAGCTGCGAAGTGAAAGCTGCCATGGCCGCCATCGTTAAAATTGGGACGCTTCTATACAACTAAATGCGCACCTTGAAATCTTGTCTCCAGGGCACTCTAGTCGGACGACCTGACATGCCACGGCCGAAATGCCGGCGGATATGCGGATATGTGGATCGCAACAAGGCAAACACCTCAGCGGTCACTGCTGCAACTGTCTCTTGTCGTAAACAGCCTCAGCCTCAACCTGAAATGCACGCCGCCTTGCCTGCCTTGTCCAATGGTCACTCCCAAGTCTTATAAATCGACATCCTGACACGTGCAAGGCTTGAAGTTCCTGCTTACAGTCTATAGGCGATAGGCCCATCCCAAACTTCCAAGCCCTCCAGCTGTGAACGTTTCGCCTTCGCAAAGCCGGCACGGGTCGAGCTCTGACGCCACGAGCTGAATAGCCCTGCAGCAGCATCGCGAGATGCAGGTGTTTTACCAATGCTTGTTTACATATCGGGGCCCTCTAATTTCCTGAAAAGGCCAAACAAGTTACTGTCAACATTGCGCCCCCTGCCATTTCGAAAGTGGTGAGTTTGGGACTTGGGTCTCCGCTAGAATGGAGTGGGGTGCTTCTGCGAACGTCTTTGTCACCGGGTCCTCTACAACTGAGTCGACCGGTTTCTGAGGAGACAAACTTCAGGCTGGCGCCTAGTAATACACTGTGAAAACTCAGGCGTGCAAAGTACGAGGTGTCATGACATGGTATTGGTCGTTCATGTCGTTCCGATCCCGGCGAGACACATCGAAAGCTAATGCAGTGTCTAGTGAGTCTAGTTGCATACGCAGCTTTCTTGCGACTTATGTCAACTGCTGGATCTACTGAGTCTACTGGGTGGAAAGCGCTTAAAGCAACATCAACAACTGACAGATTCTTACGCGACTTTCAAGTTTGGGTCAAGGACGGGTGTTCGTGTGTCTCGTCGCTGAGGTGGGTATCGGGCTATCGCGCTTGGTGTGATGTTTCGGTTCCATATGCCGAAGTCCAGTGTTACGTTGCAGGATTTGCTAGTCGGGGGTTGGGACTATGATGGACATTTCGCCCGGACTATTTGGGGTGTCGATTTTCGTGGTTCTGGTTGTATGAGGAAATGTATGGCAACCTGTGTATTTAAGTGTGTGTGTGTGTGTGTGTGTGCATGTATGTGTACATACACACCCACAGACACATGTGTGTAACCAAGGGCTTTCCACAGCCGTGTGATTCAAATTTGATAAAACTGTAGGATTACGGGGATTGCAACTGTTATGTGCTATGCTTCATGTTTTGGGAGGTCTTCCCAGGGCATTGGTAACGGCCATCTGCAAGCACTAAGCTTACATACTACGTGGCACGGGGCGTATGAGGGGCGACCTGCAAAACTCAAACGCCCCAAAAAACACGAGTCGGCAACCGGAAGGTTATCAGACGTAGAGAGAAGGACAGCTTTTATTCTATTCCTTAGACCTAACCACACCTGTGTCGATTGGTACAGCTCTGCGCCTCTTGCACAAGCGCCGCGTGGCACGAAGCCACACGACCTCTCGAGACGGATGGGATGCAGGCTTAATTCTTGGGCTCAGGAATGCCGCGTCTCATGGCGTGGGGTGGTCGGGCAGAGGATTGAGGGTCCAGGTGTGTGTTGCTAAACCTAAGTGAGGGCGTTAGGTTAAAGGTGAAAAAGAACCTCAAACACCCAGAGCCTGTTGTACGCACAAAATCTCGCTCTTCTCGTGCTATCAACAGCAGCAACTTATGGAGATGTATTTTCTTGCTTCCTTTCCGTGAATTGGGGAGGATCGTGGAGGGGGTTGAGAGGAACATGGTAACCCTAGAACTTACACTCTCTAAATGGCCCACTGGCGGTCTCAAGCCGTGGTGGGCTCGCGGTGGAAAGCCGGATTATTTTAGTGGGTTGGAATTCAATTAACCAACTCTCCGGCTATCATAGAGCCGGGGCAGGAAGCAACACCTCTTTCCCAAGTCCAAAAATCCAAAACCTGCAGCGTCAACTGGAAAACCAAGCAACAACCAGCTAAACCTTGAACTATAAACCATATACTTCTTGGGTTAAATTTTTAAACCATCGGAAACCAAAGCCCGAAAGCCTAGAAGTCGCCCGGCCTCCTCCACAACATCCCCCAAGGTCGCAGCATTGGCAGGGAAGCTGGGGTCGGCGAATAGCCCAGACCACCTGCACGGGCTGGGGCTGTAAAGCCTTAGAGGCTTCGGGCTCATGTTGATACAGTTCAGGGTCTGGTCGTTTTGGTTTTGAGCAGTTAGAGGTTTACAGGGTTCAGTTCAGGGTGCAATTACGGGTGTCGTAGTCTGGTTCAGGGGATTTCAGGGGTTCCAATGCCATAGCCCGACTCTTTAGCAAACAGCAAATCTCTCCTTGGCCTCTTGTGCAAGACGGCTCCTGCTTCTTCTGCTGCAACTGGAAATAGACCCAGCAAAACGGGTCATTTCAACCTGCTTTGGAAACGAGACCACTGGATCCCACTACAACCTCCATCTGTTCAAGGCGGCTTGGGTAAGGGTCTGCAGTGGGGATCGCACCCGAAGTGCTGAACGTGACCTGTGGTTAGACAAGGAGAAGACAAGCTCCTACTTTTGTGCACCCGGTGAGTTGTTGTTGTCGCTGTTGTTGTAGCTGCAGCAATTAGAGCTACTACGACTAGCATTGAAACGCTTGGGATTAAGATGAGTGGTGTGGAATTGGACTTGTTCAGCTTGAAGCGGAATGCGGTCAGAACTACACTGTGCAGCCTTGGAACTGACACCCAGAGAGCCCATTAATAACCCCTACTACAGTAATGCAAAAAGAGGGGGATCCTTGTGACATAGCATGTGATAAACTAGATCTCTTAATTCAGGAGACGCCCTAGACGCCATGCCTCCCGCAGCAACGGATGGAATATACTCCTGAGCTGTAAGAATGGAACAAACAGGTTGGAGTCCGTTGGGCAATGTAGAGAACTGGGTTTTAGACGTCAGCTTGCAATGGTGATTGGGGTGTCTCGACTCCAATGGTTAGGGCAGGAAGAAGAAACTCAGGGGCAGCAGTTCAGGTTTCAGCTTTCAAGAGTTTGCGCCTCGTGGTTTCCGGACCGCGTGTCTCTGGGCGGGGACCCCAGATACTGCTGAAGCCCTAAACACGCGTCGGAACGCGAACCCTCGCCGAGAACAGCAAACTTGCTGACAGGCACAGCAGTTCAGGGCGGTCGTATGTTCTCCAAGCGGGTTTTGTCGAGGTTGTTTCAAACATGCCCACTCCGCCCACTCGTCACAGACACCTACCTGCAACTTCGCTACAGTGCTGATTCTGCTGCCAGGTGGAGGACTTTAGCAAGTTTTGCGCAGTCAATTTGCTCGGAATGGCCAACACCACGCGCTATGATCTTGCATCTTCTGAAAACAAAGCTTCATCAACATGGATTATGGCGTGGATGCTCGTTGGGCCATCACAATGGACGCTCTGGCCTGACGCTGTCATGCTTAGGCTCAGGATGCTCGGGTTATTGATCGGACAGGACCATGGACGTTGTCGTGGTTGGGTCAAGAATGATTTTGCATCAAAGCGAACTTTGTCATGTTTGGGCAGTGGATGCCCTGGCACCAAAACGGAGTAGACCAATGGACTGTCTTCATTTGGGCCATGGATATCTGGCCGCCAAGCGTATCGGACCATTGACGTTATCGCTGTTGGGCCATGGATACTCTGGCCTCAAAGCAGATTAGACCAGAGACCTTATCTTGGTTGGGATAAATCCTGGTCCGTAAATCCTAGATGATACCGAAGAATAGAACCCCAGCGCCCTAAAACCCTGTAATTCCGATAAGCTTTCGAGGAGCTCTAGTGACCCTTTTGGAGTGAATACCGCCTTGGCGGCATGTTTTACTTCAGGTGTGAGCCTAGCTTCGGGCCTTTTTGCGGACTTTTCTAAATCGTCTACATGTCTACAGCGGTACTTAATTAAGGCACCGTCGTGCTGTTAACTTTCCACTGCCCAGGCTCCATCTTGAAACATCTAGCCCGGCACTGCGAAGCTCAGGGGCTCAGGACGTCATCCATTTGCATCTTTTTAGGTGTGCCAAGACATTACTCTCTGTGCGCTGCACGGACTGCTGTTATTCAACACAAATGTGGATTGCATTGTAGAATGCCATGATACAATCCTGGTCCTGACTCACAAAAGTTCCCTGTGTTCCAACCTGCCCAACCGACGCAGCGCGCCGTGGAGATACTCTCAAACGCAAAACTAATGCCAACATCCAGACTATCGTACCTATGGAATGATTTTTGTTCACTTGAATGCCCGCACATCTTATTTTTCATAGTTGCAGACGTTTGCATAAGGGAGAAGCCCTTGCCCCAAAAGCCCATGCTCTAATCAAACCTCTGGAAACACGCTGTCAGTTCGGGCTTGCTGCCTCTTCTGTGCTTAGGGCCGGGTTCACACCGAGTCACTCAAACAACCGCAGCAATAGATGGCACAGCTCCAGAACGTCAGCACGCCTCAGATTGCAACTAGATTGGATATGAAGGGCTGTACACCAGCGTTGGAGGACACTGCCTAACACTGGAATTGACTAACACCCTCATCCCATAAGCAAACACCCTGCCTGCACCAGACACTGAACATCCAACGACCAAGTAGCTGAAGAGCTGACATGACAACATCCACCATGACTGCTATCATAGTGAACAGCATCTGATTACCTTTAACACCCTTCGGTTCGTGCTTTTCCCAGCATCAGCCCTTCATCAGCAAACACAGCGACACAACCACTAACAGCACCGCCGTCCTAGCACCGAGCATGCATCAAATATTTCTAGAATGTCGGGCTGCTACCCGAGCATGATTCTCTGTCGCTCTTCTTTTATTGGGCATAGGGGACTGTTTACGTCCCCCGGCCTATTGGCCCCCCACGTGTTATGCGGCTTTGAGGGGACGTGAAAGTATTGGGAACAGTATCTTCACATGTGGGCCTGCTTCAGTATGATATCTACAACCCTGGAATGATATCAAACGGTTTGTTAAAGTGAAGCATCTCCCTCTCTCGCTCTCTCTCCCCCTTCCTCCCGGTCAGCTAGCACATTGGGCGCTCCACGTCTGGAATTCCCTCCGGTGCCCATCACCACATTTACTCCCGTCAAGGGCACAATCGGAACCACGCCATGAACCGAGAAACAGCTCCCTATATGGTTGGCCGGTCCGTTTTCATCCAATGCATGCGTGTAGGACTGGCTTCGAAACCGTAACCTTTGATCGGCAAGGCGATGCAGGGAATTCAGATCTAGAACAAAGTTCAGCATCCGATCAACATCTGGTTATGTTGTACCATGTAGTGCAGGCCATACGAACTCTCGAACGAATACTTCAACCCTCCAATTTCTCAGTGCTTACTTAATCATATACTGAAGGCATACGCACGAGTCTCCGGTATCAATGATGGCAGCAATGCTTCATTCACATGCTGTCAATATACTGGTCCACGCCGTTGAAACATGGCTTCGACAAAAACACCTGACACGATCTGTGCGGAAATTGATGGGAATTGCGATCCTTTGTTGGAGGCTTCAGGATTCAGCCATGAAGTGTCCGAGGGCGACTTGCGGCACAATCCGAGCACCCAAACTAAACCTTAAACCCACAACCCCGACCCAAAACCTGCCCCAGCCCAAAGACCTGAAGAGCCGCTCTTCCAAGCCAGGCTGCACGGTGCGAAGACACAGTTCCACAAGCAGCATGCCTTGCCGTACCTCACTTGGGGCTTTCAAGTAGAGGGTACCTTCTTGGGGCCGCTTATGTAAAGATCCCTGCTACTCCCAGTAATTAACACGATAGTGTTCTGTTCGAAGTAAAGAGATAAATCCGCTGACGGGCGAGGCCCGTGCGGCAGGCGGCCAGGGGGGTTCGCATCTCCCCGCGCACATTTTCAGTCCCGCACGAGCTTCATCTGCCGGGAAGGCGGTAGTCATGACTCCACTAATTAGTGTAGACACTGTAGACCCCGAACAGCGTGTGTCAGATCTCACAGTGCACGAGGGCTTTGCAGCTTCATCCCGCAACAGATGAACCCTAAATCGGAAAATCACAGCCGACGCGGCAGCTCGGCGCATTCTTGATTCTTGAGCGTCTAACCCTCAGCCGAAAGCCCGTGCAAACAAACGAAGCCCGAAGCAGATGTAGAGTCTGTTTGTAGACCCCGTCACAGCAGTATTGCATGATGAAAACTCCTCCCAGATTTCAGCATTCGCGGGTTCGGGCTGTAGGTTGGTCATCGCGACGGCTGTCCGTGAGCTTCGAACAACACAGAACCTAACGCACCGCTACCCCGTGTATGCACACAACCAAACACAAAGAAACTGCACCAAGAATCCAGAACCCGCAGAGCCGTAAAGTATCCAAGGGGCAGCAAGTCCGTCCAGCAGCACAGAGTCGTCCTCATCTAGTGGTGCTGGCGAGCCCGCAAGAATCGAGCTTCTTAGACCCCTGTAGCTTAGCCCCTGCGGCTGCATTACGATTTAAGGCTTTGGGCTTTAGCGTTGCGGCCGCTCGTTTCAGGTCGAGCGGCTTTCAGTGCGAATCCGAGTGCTGCAGAGCATTCGGCTTTCGGGTCAGGGATTCAGGGGGTTTAATTTGGGGTTTAGGCGTGTGGGATGTACGGACTTGCTCCATTCACGGTACAGAGTAGGATTCGATGCAGGTCTTGGGCCACTGTCTTCGGAGACCTCGGCGCTGACTAAGCTTCGCGAAATCCTTCAAGCCTCAAATCTGAATTGAAAACTGAAGCCTCGTGGCCCTAAGCATTCATGGTCAAATCTTGGTTCATAGTTCGGAGTGCCGGATCGGATAAACGCCCCAAATGAGGAGCATCCTTTCTCGAACCGTTCAGTCACAAGGAGGTCTTCACCCTATTCGCCTTAAACACCCCTCCAAAGGACCTTCCTTGCTCATCCCAATCTTGCACCCTAGGTGGCCGAGTTTCCGAGCACAGGAGGGCATCTAGCTCCCATGCTGCGTCGAGGTGGCTGCTGCTTAAGATTGGAGTGCAGATCATGGGGTGTAGGGCTCGTGGTCTGGGTCTAGGGACAGACAGAGGGACTTTAGGCCTACGGCTGTGATGGACGTGACGATTGTTGCAGGGCTACAACATGGCTGCTAAAGGCCGCAATTCGGGAGAAGGTGCTAGGTCTAGGACGTAGTGGCTTTGGGGATATCAGGGTGTTGGGTGGGTCCATCGACCGTATGCACCAAAGCGGTGCGACATCACCGCACCAAGAACAATAAGCCTGAACCCTAAACCCTGCCACTATCTATCCTTACTGTGGCACCTGACATGGCCTTCTGGCCTTGAGCTGTCATGGGAGAAAGTTGCTTGAGGTTTAGAGACCAGCTTAGGGTTCTGGGTATGCAGGGAAGGCTTTTGAGGCCCTCAGCGACGAAGGCATCGGCTTTGGGCCCTCCTTTCAGGGCCTCAGTAGGAAGGGGCTTCAGGGAGTATCTTCATCTATTGCTTTATACAAGGAGTATGGAGCAGCGCAAGATTTCTGTTCGTTCATTGCTTGTGGTCTGGAGTCGGTCGAAATTTGGTCGGCGAATCCCGAAAGGCCTGTAATCCAGAGGCCCGGGAGTTCCAGCTAGACATAAATGTATGTTCTTGAATTTAAGAACCCACGCAGTCCGGGACCCTGAATTCGCCCCCCCCTCTCCTATGTCAACTGCATCTACCAGCAGACTGGTATGCCGGTCGCATAGGCCAGACGCATGAGGTTCGAACGACATTTGCCGATATATATATATATATATATATATATGCTAATATATATATATATACAATACTTATGTATTATATACATATATATATATATATATATTTATTTATTTATATTTATATTTATTTATATACATATATTTCTAGACTCTAGAATAGGATGCTA